CTTCTCTGCTCACTTTACTTGTAGCTTGCTGACTTATAACTCGCTCACTTCGCTGTGACGGCGCCTTTATATACCTGCGCTCGCACTTATGGCAACTCTAGAACGTTCTGAAGTTTATCGCTCATTCTCTTTCTCTCGCTGTTCGCAGTGTTCATCCAACTTGACGTTTCTCTTTGTGGAACATTCTACGTCATTCCTCGAACATTCTGCCTATTTCTCGTTGTTCGCTTTGTGTTGCCGCAGTATTCGCCACACTGCCCTCCACCTAAGTCTGATCGTCCCGATCAGACACACTTGCCGCTCCAACCGCTGCAAGTCTTTCCAAGTGGACCACTTTCATCTTGGTCCTCGGTCTCCCCATTGTCTGGATTTGATGCACGGCGTCCTTCAGCCGTTTGTCAATCTTCAACGGATCTTTCCAGTCAAGTCTTTGCTTGGAGGTAAAGCTTTTCTTCTGCTGCGACATGTACAACCACAGTGCGTTACTGGACATTGCTTCCGGCTTATCTCCGGTGGTGCACCATCTCACATGGTCGTGCTTCTGCCGGCCACTGGTGGTGACCAGACCATGTCTCCTCTCGTGGGCACCCTTTTTGCCAGATCTATGCCGCCTTTAGGACATCTTGCTAAATCCGGTTCCTCACGCTGAAACGTGCCCAGTGTTTCCGCATCTCGCTCTTTCGCCGGCGTCAACCTCATTGACCGGACATGTATATCCTCGTCCTTGGCTTCCGGCTTAACTGTTCGACCACCTTTTTCGGGACACTTTAAAGCGCGCCTACTGCTCCCACAGCCGCTTCCATTTCCGGCCACCGGCGTATCACCATTGCAACGTGGTTTAGCGGCTTTCCTCCTGCCGGAAACACTGCCTGGCTTGCCATGACCACTTCCTTGTNCTCATTGACCGGACATGTATAATCTCAACCTTGGCTTCCGCCTTAACTGCTCGTCTTTGCCGACCACCTTTTTCGGGACACTTCAAAGCGCGCCTACTGCTTCCACAGCCGCTTCCATTTTCGGCCACCGGCGTATCACCATTGCAACGTGGTT